TCGGGTGACCGCCGTACTGACCGGTACTTGCTGGTTGTGGCGGGCCCTGGAGCACAGGAAGGCGGAATGTGCTGACCGTAATCGGTCACGCTGGAAGAATGTGCGGTCAGACAAGTTCCAGTCGCCGTTGTCGTACTCCTTAAAAGCTGACAGTCTACAACGGTGTTCTCCAGTCGAATCGGCCTCCCTCCCTACTTCGCTATCGTCTTCGCTCATGATCGCTACAACGATTCTTCTCTCTCTTGCTCTTGCTGCTCACGCGGCGCCTTCTAGGCGCCAGTCTGGGGACAACGGCTCTTGCCAAGCCCTGCAGATAGAGTGCGCCGCGACGGTCAAATCCGACCTCAGCGACGCTTGGAATATCAAGGCTTGCGTCTTCGGCGCGTCGTGCTTCGGTGGTCAGCATCCCGTGGATGGTTTCCTTGCCGCCGTCTACAGCGACCGCGGCGAGAGTGGTGCAGCCCCCGCGAGTGTCAACTTGCCGCGTGTCACCGGGCCGGTATGCATACATGACCACAAACTTATAGAAGATATCCTGAAACGTGCATAGCTCTTCAATTCCATCTCTACGGACGGGAAGACCTTGAGCCAACAGAACTTCATCGACGGTTACTACTCGTAAGAGACTGTGTCCCTTGAAGATCGCACGTCATGACTAGCTAACTTTGTATGAAGCTCTCTCGATGCAACCGGCGGCCCGTATCCCACCGATGTCAATTATGTCATTGGTCTCTATGAGCAGCTCCAGGATTGGACCGCGTTTTGTAACAAGCCTATCCCTCTCCAGAACTTTGCAGACTACGTGCGTTGCTCGACTCTGTGGGCTAGCTCACGGCGAATTAATGTAATTAACCCATAGTACCAATATTCGTCGAGCGTGAGCAGCAGCGGCTGCTCCGCCACAACCACTACGACATCTTCTGCGCCGGCGGCCACGACTCCTGTCATCAGTTCTGACGCCAGTTGTCAGAAGATGTTCACGACGTGCATCACGCAGGTCGACCAGAAGGTGACGAACCCATGGGCCGTCGAGGCTTGCGTTTTGGGCGCAACTTGTTTCGGTGGCCAACGCCCGGTTGACGGTTTCCTCTCTGCTGTCTATGGCGTGAAGAACTCCGGTTCCTCTGGAGCGCCTGCATCCCTCAACGAGCCGCGCGTGTCCACCGCACTCTTCGGCAAGGTATCCACGGATGGAAAGACTGTGACGCAGCAGAACTTCGTATGCCTTTCTGGATCACTACACAAGAGATGGTCCCTTACGCTTCTTAACAGATCGATGCGTACTATGGCACACTCTCAAGTGTTGGCGGCCCGTATCCTTCCAGTGCGAATCAGGTCATTGGGTACTTTGACCGTGTTCTCGACTGGACGGCCTTCTGCCCAGGCGCTGGCATTCCGTACATGAATTTTGCAGACTACGTGCGTTCTCTACCGCTGATACTAGGCAATCTCAGCTGACGAATGTCGCTAGTTTGAATACTCCGCCAGCGTTCAGGGCGGGAACGCCCAATGCTAAACGGCATACGTTATTATGCTGTACGTATGTGACCTGAATGGACTTTGACTGTAATTATCTCAGATTCTCACTGGACAAGGACATGCAATGGACAATTGTGTATCTTACGGGTTTCATTTGTGCTGGATGTACTGAATTTGCTTTTAATTGACGTTGTACCAGCTGTTTTTTGGACGTATGTAGCCAGGATGCCTGTGCTCTTTTACTTCGCCATACAGGCTGCATTGTTCCCGCGTCATCATCTTGGAGATGTCGCCGAAAACCTTGCACTCTAGACAGCTTCAGGTCGATCTTGCATTGGCGAGTAACATTCGACCGGCAAAAGTACAAAATATGTGTGAAGCCTGCCCGGATCGAACGGACGACCTTCTGGAGCCTCAACGGGCTGGAATCAGATGCTCTACCACTGAGCCAAGGCTCCCTAGGAAGTCAGGGGCTTTAGATAATCTATGACCTTGGGAAGTAGCTCTGCACCTCGATTGTGCTTGCGACAGATTCCTGATCGTCGCCAGCGGCGAAGGCCCAGTCGGTAAATGCTCGCGCCTGGTCGAGTGTGTGCAGTGCCTCCAGCCAGAGACTCTCCGGGCTTATTGTGGGGGATTCATGGCCGGTCAGTAGCGTCCTTGCTGGTGAAGACAGGCGACGGTGAAGGCCCGCCGTGGGTGGAGCGTGAGGAGAGGAGGACGACAAAGGCTGGGAATGGGTACGCGCTCAACAGTGGCTCGTAGGACATCCCTGCTTGCGCGTACCCGCAGCGGACATCAGTGACCGACAAGACTAGTCGCGAGTGTTAACCCCGAGATGACAACAAGTCGAAAGCTACTGTAGTGCGTCTGTTACTTTTCCAGGAACGAAGCAAAGCCACCTGCATATGACGTTCCGATCTGCCGCATACTGCTGACCGGGATGCCCGAGTGCCTGTTCGAGAGCCGCATTCATGTCTGTTTGTCTTCGCTCAATTGTACCGACACGAACGTCCTCCGAGATAGCATCGCATCGAACGCGAACTGCATACACATCAAGCAGGACTTCGCGGCCATCGATGCCTTCTTCGCGGCCGCCTGAACGAATCATCGCGACCCTGAGTGTGGCCGGCGTTCGTTCCTGTGACGCCCTCACGAGTCAACAAAGGTCAGTATGCTGAACTTGTTGATGGCGCGGCTTGCAATCGAACTCCCATTTCGTGCGACTGCCATGCATCTGAAGATTCTATGATGAGCTACACTAGAGTATGCTTGTACTGGCTTGTCTCATGAGGTGTATCCTGGCTACCTTCCTATAGCGTATACGCCGATGGGAGCTTGCCAGCCTGGTCACCGACGAGGCCGGCTCCTCATCGCGACTCACTTTTGACGGTTACGATGACTGGCATCGCCTTCCCGTTACAGCCATACTTACTCAGGTCTTGTGGTGTTTTCTGCTCTGCGACATTGCTCGAATCGGACAGGTCATGTCGCATTCGTGCTGGCAGCCTCAAGTCAGCGCATGAACTTGTGACTGGTCTCTTTACTCAGTAACAGAGGGGAGCTGGAGTACTGAGAACTCACAGTGCGATCTTCGACACTACTGTCGACCGCCCTTCTGATCTGACTTTGCTGTACGTGCGAAACGTGGATTTGACTCGATTGCGCCCTTGCCTTCAACTCATACCATCGCCGCGTGATAGGTGTTTTCCTCGCTCAGTCGCCTTTCGCCGCACGGCCTCGCTCTCTTCTCGCTCACGGAGCCGAAGGGAATAGTGATGATATCGATGGATCAAGGCCCCATTGAATCTGATATCGAGAATGAGCGCGACTGCGATTAAATGTACTATACTTTGCTTTCACGATTCGACGACGAAGTGTTTTGCCGTCTGTCCCCAACAGCCAGCTACAGTAGCTTGGTTGATAGTTTTATGTAGACCTTGGTCGTATAGTACATACTTGATCTCCCTGTGCTTTTCTACACTATGCAGATCTCAATATACCTAGTAGTATGCTCTGTTCTGCTATGCCTCCAAATCGCATAATCCCCGCTGACGACCTACTTCCTTGAAATTATCAAGAATGCACTGGCTTCCACTAGTCTCTTAGCGAAGACATCGAGTTGCCGTTCACTTAAGCTTATCGATTTCGATGAGGCGGATCATACGATCGTCAATGCTAGTACTACCTTCAAGGTTCAAGATGAGAGCAGTGCACAGGCTGGCTCGGAACTTCACGTTAGATCGACGCTCACTGGCAGGCGCTAGCGCGGAGTAGCTCAGAGACCGACGGACATAGCCGTACTGGCGTAGCAACAGGTTCTTATCGTGTCCATATGAGTTACAGTTCATATGCATCATGATGGTACAGGTCAGACACGCGAGAGCGAGATTCGCGGGCGGAGCCGGAGCAGCCTCGGAAGACGAACCGGAGCGCCCAACGCGCGGTGATCCCCACAGCGCTGGGGGAACACCGACTTCTTTGCTTCTACCTTCACAGTCCCCGTTCAGATATTGGCTCTGCGCCCTTGCACCAGACACAAACTTCTGTCTTGGCTGATAACGGCGAGTCTCCTGCTGTACTAAAACGGAAACCGCTGTCCGATCGCGCAGTGAGAACTCGGCATCATCCACACAATCAACGGACTATCGCTCCAATATCCAACCTTTCCGTCGACCACCTGCCCATCTCGGAGCGCTGTATCTTGGAGCCTCGGAGGGTATCATCTACGCATGGCTTCTCTATGGCGTATGGCCGTTGTCCCGGAGGTCATATGGCCGTAGGGGAGTGTGAACCACCTTTACATCGATTTCCTACCCGTTTGGCATGGGCGATGAGTAGCTTTTGCATTCGCGAATGCCTAGTTGGGACTCAGGGTGCTGGGTGGTCCGAGCAGTGATTAGCATGTAGACGGCATCTCACTAGCTGTGCTTGCGAAATCAATACACGCGGGACTGCCAGGTTTTCAACTAACCCAGTCATCGCGCTCGACTGTATCAGGACAAGTCATTACCTGTCAGCGACGGCAATGAGATCCCGGAGTGGATGTATCTGACCCTGCTACGAAGACGAGATATGGTCTGCAAGGACCATGTGTTGGTCTCGAAGCTAGCAAACAACGTGATACGGCGTACCCTGGGTCGCCGTCAGTCGCCGTGAATGAACCCACTTCTAGTGTGCCCTGGAGACGCACAGGTCGCTATTTGACTCGCGTCGATCGAGCAAAAATACACACTCGTTCGGCTGTGACTAACAGATCCGGTCGCGGGCTCAGAAGAAAACGCCGGAATGAGTACAATTATGGTCGTCCCTCAGACAAAAACCCAAGCCCATTCACTCACAGCTATAGTGCTCACCCATCTCTAACGGTGCATACTGTTGGAAGACATTGCATTATTTACCCCACGCAGGGATCCAGATGAAGTCCTTAGATTCGGTGGAGCCAGCGTACCGGATCCGCTGGCGCTAAAATGACCGGCAAGACCCCTTGTTGAAAGCGAGCCTCTATTTATCTCGCCCAGTACCCGTTGCGTCCTTGAACTCCATACACCGGAAGAATCTCTCTAACTAATACTTAGGTCCTAATGGTACAACCGAACTCAGCCAAAATCCATGCTTGGGTTAATGACGATTGATTGACATCGCAGAGCTGGAGGATTATCTGCGCGATAATCTGGCAAGGCTCCACCTACTAGCTCCCCTTGCTCTGACCAAGCTGCGGTATTTCTTGGATCTGCGCAGAAACGGTCCGTGCGTTCATACGCCCCTGATATCGGCGTGTCGTTCGAACGGGGAGCCGGACGTCTCCGCGGGGTCATATGTCCCGTGGACACCCCGCGACGCAGTCGCAGTCCGAACTGAACCACACACCCATCGTGTTCGAACGCGAATGCGCCCGTTTGGGATGCTGGTCTTTAGATCCGTTGCGAAGAAGCGTGCCTGTTTACCGATTGAGAATGGGGGGTGGGCTATATTCGCACTGGGCTACTTGGTGAGCTCGGGTGGGGGATAGTGATCAGTTCATCCACCGTATGCCAGCGATATTAGTGGGCGCATATCCTTCGGCGCCGCCGTTTGCCTATCACCATGAATTCCTAGCAGCAAGTGCTGATATATCTCGTTTCACTTTCTCGATCATCGAAGGATTGTCGCGTAGCGCGAAACCGCTTGACACGGGCATCACGCAACCGAGGCCGATGTATGGCAGTCCCACAAGATGGGAACTCGTTTCAGGATTGTTCCGAGCTTGAGAGGGACAACCTCACCCCGTACTACCGGCACTGCTAGCAGACTGACTTTTGCTCGGCAGTGGAGCAGCTTTCGAAGAACGTACTTATCTCTGGATCGTCTCGTCCAAATCCCAGAGCTATCGTACGCCCTACCCGCGAGCGACCGCATCACTCCTGGCGACGGTGAGCTTTTCTGACGGTAAGCGCCGCACACGGTGTGTAAGCTCAACATTCTCGATTTTTTTTCGAACTCAGACACGCTTCCATCTCGATCTGCTTCCCGCGCATCCGATGGAGTGTTGTCAGTGGAACCTAGACGGCCATACGAATCGAGCATTGGATCAAAGCGTGGTGCGAGCGCGCACTGGACTGCCAAGGCGCCACCACCGCTCTCGCCTAGTAAAGCCATGGACTCGACTGCGTTCTGGGCGACTACTATGCTAGCCCTCTTCCAGCCCCCGTCAGGGCAGCGCCAAACGCACCCCCATTCCTGCAATACGCATGCTAAACGTTAAAACTCTCCTCGTTGTGATGATACCTCCCATTAGCAAGGTCCGTGCTTCAATGCCATTTCATGTCGAGGGACGCATCATGACGCTATTGTAGAGGTTCAGGCTCAGGCGCATTCTAGCGTTCAACTGCATGAGTATGATTCATTGGCCGCGCACGCGGCGGATACCAGGGCACCCATGACCGGACTCTTTGGATGCTCGTGGCATCCCAGACACAACAATTTCGGTCACTGCAACGCGCCAGTCGGCGGCCGCACCTGGATCTGTAGCCTTTGGTGAGTAGTAACGGCCTCGGGAGCGTTCCGGAGTGCAAGTGCCGCGACGCGACGTTCTCTTCTGCCAGTGGCATCTTGGCACTTCACCATACCGCTGAGCCCTCACGATTCTGTTCTTTGGCTTTGACCCGAGCACTTCATTTCTTCAACGTCTAGGATTACACTATGAGAGAGAGATGTTCACACGAGAAATATATTTGTACAAAAGTCGAGAACTTCACATTGACGCGCGAGATTTAGTGGCTATGAAGCACCATCCTATCTATCCACTTGTTAACACAGAGCGCCAGCATGGCATCTATAAACAGGGTATCGTGGTCGAACGAAAAGCGGAAGGTCGCGTATACGCGTCCAGCTGGTGTTTGGACCGCTTGTGGAGCCTCGACGTACTGTCCTATCCGAACGCCATGCGGCGTATACAGCTACATCGAGCAAGTCAAGTTTAAGGAATGACGATGGCAATGCTGTCTCACTCACGTCGTAGTTGCACCCGCCGACGTGCTGCCAGAGAAAGCGCACACGGGTCCCTTCAGTATCCGTGGAGTCGAATGCACGATATCTCAAGATATACACTATCAAAAGAGATCATGCATGATCGTGGAGTTGACTCACCCAGGTGCGTAACCAGTCATGATAGCAAGATCCGCCATATGCTTACGCTCACCGCGCACCATGGCTTGCCCAGGCGCAGTGCCAAGTATCCAACGGAAGGTCGCGATTTCGCGACCATCATGGCCACGAACCTGACTTCATCAGTGCCATTCAGAGATGCACAAGCATCAGTGCTACTCACATTCGTCACAGTCTCCAAAGCTCGTACAGTCTCGAAGATCATGTTCGAGTCGGCGGGAACAGCAGCGACAATAGAGCAATGGCGAGGATCACCGGTCCCAATGAAGCGCGCCTCGTATGTGTGATCCATTGCTAGACGAGCTGGCCCTAGCAGCGCAACACACGCTTGTGGGGGTTAGAGGGTTATACACATAGCACTCTTTATCGAGTTGCAAGGCGCTTGGGTTCAGAATTCGCAGACATGCAATTCAAATACCTCGGTCTCCGTTGCCCCCACAAGACGAGTATAGAGCCGCTGATCGCTCTGTCTCCAGAGCCCTGGCTCAGGGAACGAGAAACCGGAATGTAGCATAGTCCGCGCTGTAGTAGAAGCCAAGGGCGCAGCGGGCCGTTCGGACCATGTCTATTAGGCCCCTGGTCGATCGCCGTAGAGTCAGCCCAATCTCTACGTCCCGTTACACAATCGATATTATTCACCTTGGCACATGCGCTTCATACGCAGTTCTGTACTATCTGCAACGTCCATAGGCTGCAGAATCTCGCATCAGCATTGCAGCCCAGCTTGACGCGGGGGTGTTCAGTCCCGTCGGTGCTTCTGATCTGCTATTTTGGGGGAGTCTATAGTCCATTCGCAACCTTTAGGTAGAAATCCGCGACTGTACCACAGCAGCCCGGTACATTCCGTATTTGATTTATGCATCCACCGTGTACACCAGTGCCTTACACTGGTGGTCGAAGTCACATGAATACGGTGGGGCAGCCACAGGATGACTCAAGAGTGGAGTTGTGCTTCAGTGCGTCGAAGAGAGCACTTCCGCCATGATTACTACACGTTCATGACCGAGCTTGGCCGGCTCAACCCTCCCTTGAGCTAACACATATCCACGATGGGCCGTTCACCACAGGGTCAGCCATTACTTCAAGGGAAGGCCACCACCGCGTGCCGCACATTCGCCCGGCGACTTGAATACGTGTCAGACGTTGATGAAGAATGCATGTACACCTCATCTACAATCTCCCAGGACTTGACGATGATCGACCCGTTGTACGACATGCCTACGTTCTCGTTTTGGGGAAGAGAGGTCATGGAAAGCGAATGGTGATGAACTGCACCAGCAGGCCATTACATCAAATCCTGAGTGAGCCAGGAAGCCCATCGGCGACATATGTTACGATGGCGGGATCCAGGCTCTGTCGAGTGATCATCCTGTCGGCGGAGTGGCAACTTTGCCGGCGCCTTCTTCTGCGCAGATACCAGCATACCCAAGGCACGTTGAAGAGCCTACGTCATTTATTAGAACGGCGATCCCGCGTGCAATTGCTTCGCGTGAGTGGCTAGAAGCTTTACTTACAGTGTCCTTCGGAAGACCTCGAACGCGTCGAGACCGAGTTTGAACAGAAAGGGCGATATGGACGTGACGTTTGCTTGACGCACGGTGAGAGAACGGTATCCCCGTGAAAGCGTAAATCGTACCCTCTTTCTGATACAACAACGTTGCACCTTGCGAACCCGGATACCATTCTACAACGAACGACAGCTCCCAGAACTTCCCACTTGCTATTCGACTGCTGCGCCAAAAGCGCCGCGTCTCCATCACGCCATATTCTCAGCAGTACATAGAATTACACGAAGCAGTCACGAGTTGAGGGCAGCGTGCGTGAAAGGAAGGGTGTAGTATATTGCCATGATCGCGGTCAAGAGCAAAGACGCGTCTGCAAGCGCCGCGGTAATGCGGCGGACCGCAAAAGCCGCACTCGCCAACTGCCGCCGTGTTCGGAAATGGCAAACCTGTCCAGCCAACCGCTCTCCAACTTCTCCCTATCGCACGATGTGGTCCAACTACCGGGAGCCTGCATGTAGCCAGAACGTACGTCAACGACGATGTAAGTGGCGAAAACGTCTCAAACGGCCGTACACTACTCTACAACATGCGCCGACTTCTGTGGGTGCTTCGATCAACACGACCCTGGTAACACTTGGTATTTGACTACTCTTCGGTCTAGATCCAGTACGTCTAAATGGCCGAGAACCCCGCGAGCTCCCACTAAGCTCATCGAGTCGTCTTCGACTTCGTCTGGGCCGCATCGAGCGAACACACCGAACCGCAGGAGCCCTTGGCATACAATGATACATGCCACTTGACTGGGCATGTACACAAGAGCTTCAAGCTACCGACGTCTAGCTCTCCAATCAAGCCAAATGCGAGTCCAAAAGTGATACAAATGCATGCATACTGGGAGACGAGCAAACAAACGACGCCCAGCTTCGGCCGCATGTACACCTGCGGGTGTCTAATCGCAGGAGCGGTCGGGAGGATGTCGGGGGAATATGGAGCAATACATAATACGCGTAAATGAGGATGGAAAGTCCGAGCATCATAACAAGGATAGGTATGGGTGCACAGTGATTCTCAGGCAGGTTGGCCGATATCTCCATACAGAATGAATGGGGTGTAGGTAGGGAATAGATGTGGCGTGACTAGAGGCAATGGTGGCTGGCGTAAAGAGGGAAAAGGGTAAACATGGAGTCCTGAACGTTGATCGAGCGAAACCTATGCAAATCAAACACGGGGTCTACTCCTGACCGAAACCAACGGTCTCCTCAACCGCCAACGTCAGCTTGTGCTCCAAGCTCGCGTAGTCCTTATACGGTGGCAGATCGATGCGGTTGAAGCACGTATGACTCTTGGGCAGCTGGTTCGGGTCACCAGCCTTCTCGATCGTGAAGCGCCTCGGACCGTCGGACCCCTGCAAGTCCTTGAAGCCGTTGACGGGAATACGCGATGTTCCGGTGGCAAACTGCAAGAGGCGAGACTTGCGCTCTGGCGGCCATGAGCGCACACACTTCCAGAACCACTGGATGACCTCGTCGTTGACCTCATAGCCACGGTAGTCCGTGAACTTCGTCCAATCGTCACTGGAAAACAAAGTCAGGCTAGAGATACACAACGAAGTGACGAAAGAGCACATACACGTCGATTTCAGACATGCCACCGATGAGCAACTCGAGCTCACGCTCATCGAAAACGTTGATCAGGTCCTGAGGAATCAGCTCGCTGAAGCCGCTCATGAACGCGTCAAATTGCTCCTTGACGCGCTTCGAGATGCGGTACTCCACGACGCAGTCCACGTAGTCCTTCTTGTTATCCTCGGTGACCTCAATCTCAGATCCGCCCTCCTTGAGATCGATCGTGACGAGTTCGCCGAAGCGCTCCTCAGTTGTCGTGAACGTCTCGTCGATGACGCCAGTGATATCGTTCTCCAACATCCAGGTCAACCCACGATGCAACTCGGCGTCGACACTCTCCAAGTCGGAGAGCGTGACTTTCTTCTTCAGAATCATCTTGTAGAAGCTGACGATGAAGTACGCGTCGAGGAAGCGGCGGTGGAAAATGCCCAAACCGAGGCAGCGGCCAATGAACTTGAAGTAGTTCAAGTGCTCGGGGTTGACGCCAGAGGCGGGATTGATCTGGAGCGTGTAGTTGTCGTGCGCAGAGTACTCGAACAAGCAGTAGAACGGATTGAACATCTCATGCGAAAGCAGGAAGAAGAATTCGCTGCATCAAGATATCAGCCACATGTTCCCAAGCAATTGTATGGCTTACTAACCGCGAAAGGCCTCCGTAATCGAGTCCGTCCTCGCCGTCAAACTTGATCATCAGACGTTTCTTGAGATCGTTCGGCGTCTGGCGCATGATCTCTGCGTACGAGTCCTCGAAGATATGGTTGCGCCGAACTTTGATCTGGCAGTTGCCGGGCTGAGCGCGCATAGCGGGCTGCGAGCGGAAATAGATAAGCTTGCGGCGGAAGTCGCGCTTGTACTGGGGCACATTCGCGTCTAGCGACGAGGGCAAGCGAGGGTCGTCCCATGTCGTGGTCTTCGTATTATGATCCACAAAGTACACCCGCGCGGTCGAAGTAAGACGCATCTCCCAGCCCGATGGTAACGGACCAAGCTGTGAGATGGTCTGAGGTTGTAACGCCGTGTTCTGCCCGTTCGGGCCCATTACGCGGATGATGGTCTGCCGGCGCGGGTCAACCCATGTCGTCGTGCGCGTGTTGTGGTCGACGTAATACGGCCGACCCTCAGGCGTGTAGCGTTCCTCCCATCCAGCAGGAAGGTTGCCAGTTCCAGCAGTCGTGGCGTTCGTGCTCGCGGCCACAGCGGCGGCGGCAGTGTTTGTCGTCGCCGGGCTGGGCGGTGCAGCGCCCCCACGCTGGGGACCACTCGAAGCTTCGAGAACATCGTCAATGAGAGCGCGGCGACTATGTTGCTCGCGAGCGGCCGTCGTCGCAGTATCCTGGTCTTGCGTGTTGGTCGTCTGGTTATTGGACGGCCTGTTCCACGTAGTCGAGCGCGTGTTGTGGTCCACGTAATAAGTACGCCCAAGAGGATCGATGCGACGCTCCCAGCCAGCCGGTAGGGGACCATACTGATCTTCAGTTGGGTTGAAGTTATGGTTGGCCTGATTATTGGCAACTGTCTGTGTTCCAGGGGAGACCGTTCCAGCAAGTGTGGCACGCGCAGCATTGGTAGCAGGCACGGCTGAGGCAGCAGGTGCAGCCGCTGCTGACTGAGAGCCAGTGGACGTAGGCGGATGAGCCGCCTCGGTGGTAGCGCCTGATGGTGGCTGTGCAGGCTCCGGTGCAACGTTAGGTGTAGGCATGGCCATGGCGGGCGCGGGTGCTGCATCCGCTGCGATGGCGTGAGAGCTGGGAGTGCGGGAAAGAGAGCCACCATCCGTAGTTGACGCAGCGGCGTTGTTGACTGAGAGGGTAGAAGCACTGGCTGGTACACTGCCGCTCCCGGACGCCGCTGGGCGTGCGTTGTTGATAGGACTCGAGAGGTTGGTCGACAAGTAAATGATAAGTTTGCCATGAACGACCAGGTTGTCGTTTGACTTCTTCAAGTCCAACTGGAGCATCTCTGCGGGGACAAAGTTCAGCCGAAAGTTCCAACAGCGCGCCACTTGTGCAAAATAACCTACCGTGGCCCCCAAGCTCGAGGTCGAGCACGTTCCCGACGCGAACATTGACGACACCCAAGAAGCCTTGATCCCGGCGTTTGAACTTGCGCTGGTCGAAGATCTGGACGGCGATGACGGATGACTCCTTCACCATACTAGACATACTCAGTGCTACGCCTTGGTGTAAAGATAGACCAATAACGTACATGTCGAAGCTTTCATTCCAGTACGGGTTCAACGTCTTCTTGATGACGCTCGTCGTGATCGTCTGCTCGGCGTCAACGGTGATTACCGCAAACGGGTCTGGCAGCCTGAACACATCCCGCTTCGACAGGCCGTCCGCCGCAACGACTGAGCAACATTCTTCAGCATACGACACGCATGTAGGGTTGTCTTGATAGACGAACCGGTGATCCTGATCTTCTTACTGACATTTCGTGTTAGCAAGCATGTTCCTAGGCGCCATGTGTGAGACCACAACTCACAGTTCTCCCTGACCCGACGACGCCATGGCGATCTACACTAGGCGTTCTCTAACGCGGCCTGTCGCTTCAAATACGCGCTTGTGCAGTCGGAAGAAAGTAACCAGATACAACAATTGACAGTATGGATGGTGGTGGTTGGGAGGAGACTTCTTTAGCCTGAGACCGTCGTTCGGACACCGCCCGGATGTGTCATTCGTCCCCTGGGCCTGGCACGTGGAGGGGTCCGCTCAATCAATTCCCGAGGGGCCAAACAATACAGTTGTCCTCGCCTCTCTCCAAGTGCTTGCATGCCCTCTCCACTGAGGCTCCCAACTACTGTCTTCGCATCACATCTATCCGTTGGGGTATGACAAGAACTGATCTATGTGCAGAGAGAACGTCCATAGAAAACAGGGCTACTAGTATGCTACTTATGATGATGTGAGTATGAATCGACGTCGAGGACCGTGATGGGGATAATGACTATATGGATACAGATGTGGACCTACTATACTACAATGCGGGGACGTGTATACAGCTTGAAGTACGTAGATGCAAGATCGACTAAACCAACAAAGAGAAAAGCAACGTGTAAACGACGTAGGAGACGAGCAAGCAGCGACGATAGCAAGAGCGTGAATAATCATAGTGCATGTGTGCGCGACGTGAAGCAGTGTGAAAAGAAAGCAGCAGGCGAATGCGAGGGTCGCTACAGGCTCGCCGCATCACGGTCGGCTGTAGCTTCGAGAACCTTAGACATGAGTTCGTCGATCCGATATGGTTTAATCTGCCCAATTTTGTCAGGTAAAATACTCCCTCACAACATCACACGGAGCATACCATGACGCTGTCCATCCCAGAGTCGAGCGCCAGCTGTATCTGGCCTTCGCGCGCGTTCCCAGTAAGCGCGAATATGAGGCTGCGGCGAGGGAGTTTGCCGGTGGCTTCCAACTTTCGTATCTCGCGCGTGGCAGTCAGGCCGTCCATGACAGGCATCTCGCAGTCCATCTGCCGAGGTACGCCGTGAGCCAAGGGATGATGTATATGTCAAGACGTATACGCACCAAAATGACATCAAAGTGTTGCCCGGCAGCGGCTCGGTCTCGTAGTCGGTCAATAGCCTGAAGTCCATGATCAGCAAGCACGGTTGTACAACCAAGAGTCTTGAGTTGTCGGCTAAGAACAGTTAGCAAAGCTCTCGACTGCACATAGCCAAGTAACTCACTTCAGGATGGTCTGGTTGATGAGGTTATCCTCGACGAGCAGCACGCTAGACATAATCAGTCATCGTATCCTCCACCCGTAGCGACACTGACGCACTTAAGTCCTCTTGACTTGATGGTGGACGCCAAAGACGGCGACGGTGCCACTCGTGGAGGTTCCACTTTCGGAGAAACGGCTTCTACCCTGATATAAAACTGGAAGGTGGCGCCATGCCCGAACACACTCGTGACCTATGTAGAGATGAGATGAGTAAGGATAGAGAAGGGATATCGAGGAACTGACGCTAATCTTCCCGTCCATGAGGTCACACAACTTGCGCGATACGAAGAGCCCCAGACCAGATCCCCCAAACGTCTTCTCCGAGTTCGTGCCCTGCTGAAACCGCTTGAAAAGTTGCACCAAGTCGTCGGGATGGATACCCGGTCCCGAGTCCTTGACGCTACAGTGGACATATAAGGGCACAGGCTCGTCATAATCCCGCTCCGTCAACGGCGCCTCGGGCCGTTCCGGTGGCTCGAAATCCGCGCCGTCGACTGGTTCTCGTCGCGAGATGTTGACCGTGACGATAATATCTCTAGCCGTGGACGACATGTCCGTGAACTTGATCCCGTTGCTCATCAGGTTTGTGCTGTTTATAACCAAGTCAGGTGAGTTAGATGAGAAGGCGTCGAACGACTCACAGGATCTGCCTAAAGCGCGCCTTGTCTGCGCGCACGTACTTGACGCCCAGCTGTTTGAACGACTCGCCTACATTCAACAGTATCGAGATGCGTTTCCTGAAGACATCATCATTACAAGGCCATTGTGCGCGAGGAAAATAAGGCACTCACATCGAGGTCTCCTTATTGAACACCGAGATGAGACCGCGAGTCTCCTCAACCGGCTGAAACTCGACCGGGTGAATCGACAACGCCCCCAGCTGAATGCGCGAAAGCGACAGGACGTCGTTGGCAATTCGCTCTACCTCCAGTGTAAGTATACTTCCACAGCCGGGACCATCAAAAGATGCGACTTACCCTGAGCCAAGCCGCACTGATACATGGCATCAATAGCCTCCAGATCCTCGACCATGCTCTGCAACAGCTTCTCCGTCGGCATATACGGCTTCCCGTACAACTGGCTATCCTGAAGCTCCTCGTGCAGCGCACCGAGATTCGCACGGAGCACACTCGCACAGTTTAGGATCGCGCTCACGGGCTGCCGCAGTTCGTGGCTGGTGACGTCGATCAGCAACTCCTGTCCGCGCCGGCGCTCATCCGCCTCTTTACGGCGCATCTCTGCCAGCTCCGCGCGCTCCTGTGCGAACCGCTCGCGCTCTTCCGCATGGGCGATGCGCGCCTGTTCCAGCTTGCGCTGGGCCGTGATATCCGTGATCGTACAGATGAAGCCGTCGGCTAGGGAGCGGGGCAAAAGGTTATCAGTACAGCTCAGGAAAGACAGGAAGCTTAGACTACTCACAATCTCCATCCTCATTGGATAAGGGCTCCCATTGCTGCTGTACATAAGTCCCGTTCTTGAAGGCATGCTCAAACGACGCCGATTGACGAGTTTCGAGAATCTTGCGCCACTCCTGCTCGACTCTCGCCACATCATCGTCATGGACACTGCATCAGGGTGTGGTATCAGCTTGTTTGTGCTTGAAGGCACAATGCGTCAAACTCTCACGTTTTCAGCCTGAGGTTGAACGGAAGTCAGCTCGGGCAGAAGCACGAGTAAGCACGACTACGCACATAGACTCGAAGGAGGCCTCGTCCGCTGCATGTACACCCGTGATATCGACCCACCGCTGGTTCGCGTATACGAAGGTACCATTCGCATTGACCCTGAAGAGCCCAACAGGAGACAAGTCGGAAAGCACCTTGATCTCCCTTGTCCGCGCCCTAGAATATGCCAACGCAGTCAAAACCTCGCTCACCTCGCATCATTCATTTATAGCTACGTACTGAAACAGCGTCTCAAGCTGTGCCCGACGCTTGCCCAGCTGCATCTGGAGGTGAGCGCGTGCGATGAGCTCTTTCGCATTGAACGGTTTTGCGAGATAGCTGCAATGCATAGTCAGTCGCTGCAATATCTCGACCAAATCTAAAAACCTACTCGTCCGCGCCGGATAGTAAGCCCTCCACCCGTGACTCCGCCGTCTCTTTTGCAGTAAGCAAGATGATAGGCAACAAACGTGTATCTGGCCTCTCCCTTAACTTCGCAATCAACCCATAACCGTCCAAGCCTGGAACATGTCAACACGAGCGCCATCATGTCACAGGAAAGATCGCGTACCCGGCATCATGACATCGGTGATGATAAGGTTCGGCCGAACAGCGCTCATAATCCTCAACGCGTCCTCGCCGTTCTCGCTCTCCACGATCGTACAGTACGGCTGCAACAACCCTCTCACATACCGCCTCAGGTCCGTGCTATCGTCCACAAGCAAGATGACGTCGGCCCTGGAGAAGAACAGCGTGCTGGCCTCGAGTTTGGTGCTCGCTGTCGTACTAGTGCCACTGGTAGCGCTACCAGAGCTCACGCTCCTGTTATCCATCGCGCTATGCGGATCGCCGTCTATGCCTCGCGGCTGTGTCCAGTGCACGGCCTCGTCGATGATGCCTTTGCTGTACAACCCATGATCAAAGAGCACGAGCGGATCCGGGTCGATGTGCGCCTGCGGGAGATGATCGTGTCCTAGAGGTATGGATACTGTGAAGCGGGAGCCATGATTGTCGGGCGAGTCCTCAGCCGTCAAAGACTTGAGCGAGATACGTCCACCGTGGAGAATGACGAGTTCCTTAGTCAACGCCAAACCGATACCAGTGCCTTCGTAGCTGCGTCCAACGGACTGTAGCATCAAACGCCCCTCATCAGCCACTTTTCTCGATAGCATTGTAAGTAGAGAGTACGCACGTTCGCCCGATGAAAGCGGTCAAACACTTTGTCAATGTCCGCAGCCGGTATCCCGACGCCCGTATCCTGCACAGTGAGATGGATGTACCCGTCCTTAACGTCCAACTTGACGCTGATCTCGCCTTCGAGCGTATATTTGAAGGCGTTCCCGATCAGATTGACCACGATCTTCTCCCAAAATTCAGGATCGATGTACGCGACGGTGCCATCGTCGTGTCTGCACGCCACCGTGTACTACTTATCATTCAATATCCCAATATCAACTCAACGGATCTCTTGAGAGGGTTGATAGCTGCGTGGAAATGGACTGACTTTGACGTGTGCCTTCTGTATCACGCTGTTGAAGAGGCTCGCTAGGTCGGCCGTGTATGGACCTAGAGCGACGGGCCTGAACCGTCCCGTGAGTTTCTTGGCGGCGAGCTTTGAAAAGTCGAGTAGCGAATCCACGAGTCGCTTGAGCCTCGCCGTATTCCGAAGCGCCATCTCCAGGTTCTCCCTGGTCGCCGTATCGCGCACGTACGGTATAGCATCTTCGAGAGGCCCTTGGATCAACGTGAGGGGTGTACGGAACTCGTGCGACGCGTTCGAGAAGAACGCTGTCTTCGCCTCGTCTAGCTGTGCAAGTTGTGTTGCGCGCGCAATGTCCGCTTCGCGCCCTTTGACGGCTTCGAGTAGCGAGTTCAAGCTCATGCGCACGAGGTCCATCCAGCTCCGATAATGCGCATCGTACGACCGTCGACTGTTGAGCCCAAGGATGATCACGCAAGACGGCACCGTTCCATTGGCAACCGTGGAATCCGTGAGCGGGATGAGTACCGCTTCCCGGGCCTGCTCGTTCCATCCGCGCGCGTCGAAACCCTGCACGACGTATGCCGGGATATGCGGGACATGCACAGCGGCGTTGGCAGCAAAGACGTCTGCAAAGGGCCAGAAGCTTTCCCTAATGCTTTGGGAGGTGCCGGAGCCCGTGCCAGTGCCCGCGGTTGATGCGGGTGCGGCGGCAACGGCCGCGTCGAGTGCACGCATCCGGAAGGAGTCGATAGAGCTTCCCACGGACGAGTTGCTCTTATCCCGATATGTGCTCGGCGCTACTGCTGGGAAGCCGTCCGTGGTTGATTCTACGTCATCGAGCTCTGATTGAGACATGGATAGCTGAGATTGACCCTCGCCTGGCGCAGTCGATGCCAGCGTCTTCGTGTTGAGGTATAGACTCTGGGCGACGGGTACAGAAGCGTGACCAACGGGTACACCGACGGTGCCGCTGAGCGTAAGACGGATCTTGTACGGCGTGTCCGGAGTGATGTGCACTTGCTGAGGATCTTGATCCTGAAGGTTCTTCTCGCGTGATCGAGCATCGGGTGCTAAGGTGACTATTATGAGGGGTAAGGCGACGACAGTTCAGATGATGGAAGCATGCCTTCAACCACAGTCGCTTGGTACATTGCCGCGAACGGCGCGCTAAGAGGGTACGTTCAGCGGGTCAGGTCGTCAGACGGACTGGAGTACGGACTCCAGGGGATACGCCTTGAGAACTTCGAGGATAGACGCTGAAAACTCGTTATATGTTCGTGCTGCTGCAGCAGTTGTGCTAAGCTCGCGTATGAGCTCCATGCGCCGGTCAGCGATGACCTTCTGTGTCCTCTCGACTGTCTGCTTGATCAAGCCAACTGCATTGCCGTCCCTATCCCGGACTGGAACCTAAAGACAAAACCTACGTGAGAACACCATACTGTGAGGACTTCGAAAAATGTTTTACATAGGTCCATGACTGGTACTGCTCTTGAGGCAGGTTCGTCTCTGTGAGGCTGTTGACGAACAAGAGGTCTAAAAAGATAAACAACGGCAGCATCTGGATGATAGAAGCACATACCGTCTAATCGGTGTACCGTCTTTCCTTTCATGACGCTCTCCGAAAGAGGTCCGATGTCAGACCAAATCTCCGCCCATGCTACAGCCCCGGTCTTGCCAAAGATGTCGGGATGTTGATTTCCAACCGTCTCCGCATCTGTACTTTCAATCAGACAACCTTGCATCAAAGCGAGAGATATTACATACACGCCTCGTTGTAGATCAGAGTGAGATCCGTGCCCCATAGGACGCAAGTCTGGAAACGTTGTTAGAGAAGTGGCAAGCAACTCAACAAAAGATCAAGAGCTTACAGGGAAAGGACACGACAACGCGTACGTGACCGACGCGATGAGTGCGTCGCTCCACTCCTTGCGCGGACCGAGCGGCGTCTTCTCCCAAGGATAGCCTTCGAGCAGCTCAACACAACTCTCCGCCCTTCGTCCAAACGACTCGGTCTCAAACCACTGCTGTCCAGTCGGCGACTTTGCATAATCTCTAACGACAACGCTCTGATCAGACGAATATCTTTGCGGAAACGGCGGCGGGGTATTGGCGTTCGAAGCCGTCCCGTAGTTGCCGAACGCAGGCGATTCGGGAAAGGGCATGGGCGTCTGTGTTCCTGAGGGCGGGAGCGCCGAGCGCGGTGTGGAAGTGCAGATAAGCGCGTCCCCGACTCTCGTCTGGCTGAACTCGAGCACGACGGGCTCGGGATTGGGCATCCATTGGGGTATAAATTCGAGCGTGATCGTGCTGGCGATCTGCTCCAGGCCGGCGTCGGAGGGGAACGCCCAATTTGTAAGTCGCCTTGCCTGTTCGACGGACGTGAGGGCTGCTTGGAAGGACGAGCCCAGCTCTGACGTGCGCGCATCGGGGCCGAGCAGGACTCTGCGCAGGGCCGCGTTGGCGAAGGTGGGCGTGAAGGACGGGTGCGTCTGGGATGCGAGGGATAATATAAAGGCCGGGTGCGGGTAGGCCGAGAGAAAGGCAATGTACGGCTGGTCGGCCAGCGAGACCTGCATGGCGTCGCGTGCAATCCCGCAGACGGCGCGCCTATCGTCCTCGACGTCGCCGACGAGCAAACAACTTGCTGCCGCAGATCTGACTTTGTCCGGATCCGTCTGCGTCGCTCTATTCGTCCGCGATGGGCCTCCGAAACCCGTGCGGCCCTGCAGCCGGAGCACGGTCTGGAGCCCAGTCACAAACGTGACTTGATAGATGGCGGTCCATGTAGACGCAAAAAACTCGCCGATATCGCTGCGAGAAATTGTCCTGAGCCTCTGCAGGTTCGGGTACAGAGCTGGCATCAGTACATGGGACTTGACGGCGACCGTGCGCAACATCACGGCTGAACCTTTATGTCCCCGCCTTCGCCGCCCTGGAGTCGCCACAGCTGCGACACGCTTTGGACCTACACGATGACCTCATCACCATGCTTATTTAGAGTATTTAGTCGCTCAATACACTTGAGATTGGACAAGACACGATAATATATGCAGAGAAGATAAATGCAGCAGAGAGGACCGGCTCCTATCGACTACGACACGGCGATCATGAGGAACTCTCCGCCTTGGCGCTCTTCTTCGCCTTTTTCTTCTTCACAGGCTCCCCGTCAACAGGCGCCTCAGCCTCAGCCTTCCGCTTCGCCTTCTTGCTGGCGGCGTCTGCTTTCGGCTTCTCCCCCTCAGCGGCAGCCTCCTGCTGCTTCGCCCCCTTCTCTGCTTTGGCCGCCTTCTTCTCTTTCTTTTCCTTCCCCTTGGCTTCGCCGTTCCCCGACGCGAGCGCGATCAGCTGCGCGACCATCCCATGCAGCCCAGTCGAGCTCTTGAACCGCTCGCTCGCCTCCAGCTTCGTCTTGACGTCCGCCCAGACATCAGCCTTCCACACATCTCCGATCGACCCGAACTTCTTCGTGGTCCTCGCAGCATGCAAGGCGAGCTTGAGCACATCCTTGAGCTGCGGCGCTGTGAGACTCGGCTCGGTCGTCTCCTTCAAGACGAACGTCGAGAGCGCAGTATGCAACGTGCCCATAAACTCCACGACCTCCTGTTTATGCGCGTCCTGTAACCCAAACATTAGCATCATAGCCTCCTCGCAATCAAAAGAAAGCAAACACACCGATGAAGGAAGATTATTGCACAGCACCAACACCAACCCCCAAAGCTGCACCTTCCTAAACGCATTGACGCCCTTCCCAACCTCACCCAGAACGCTCTCCCTCATCTCCCACGCAGTCCCACTCAACCTCTTCACGAACTCCTCAAAGAACTTCACGTTCAGATCCGACGCCTTCCTCTCGGCAAAGTCGGCCAACGACGCGCTGTACGCGGATAGCACTTTCGACTCGGCGCCGGAGTGTACGAGGGAGCGGGAGACGTAGAGGCTGCAGGCGCTGAGGATCGCGAGGGGGTCCGAGCCGCGGACTTTGCGCGCGCGGGCGTGCAGGTTTTCGAGGACGGAGGAGGCGAGGGTTGTGTCGACGCCTGTTGCGGCTTCTTTCGCTTTACCGATACGGGACTTCAGTAGACCGGAAGCCTTCTCGATCAATTGTTTCTCGTCCGGTGTAGACGTGAACACCAGCTCGACGAGCGGGAGGATTATGGAGATGACGAGTGGAGAGGATGGCTGTTTCTTGACGAAGATGTCGAGTAGGTCCAGGATACGATTCTTGAAGTGTGTCGCTTCGCGCTGCTCGTTCTCGCCTGTATATCGCGTCAGGTGATGGAATATATACAATGAATGAAGTGCTTACCCCGGGACTTGCCCTTCTTGACCTGCTCCTTGAAGATCGCCGCGAGCTGCTCGTCGATAGCCATCATCTGCTCATCATCCATCGCTTCTTCCTCCTCACTCTCGTCGTCCTCATCCGCGGCACCTCCACCAAGTGCAGCAGCAAGCTTCGCTCTCAACTCCTCGTCATCCTCAATATCCAGCTCCTCGTCGTCATCATCCTCGTCGTCATCATTCTCATCCGTCTCGTCGTCATCAACATCCATCCCCTCCTCATCCTCCCCCTCACTCTCACTATCCGCCAACAACTCCGCCGGATCCTTCCTCTCCAACTGCGCCAGCACCAAATCGAGCGTACTAGCCTTCACAGCCCCACTAAGCAATCCAAAGCTTTGATTGCCCACCGCGCGCGTGAACGCGGTCGATTTCTCGAGGAAGCCGATGATGATGTCCACCAGAACGTCGATGGGCTCGGGTTCGTTTTCTTCTGCGTCGGTATCGGGGGTGGGCTTCTTGCTTTTCTTTTTAGGCGACTTTTTGGGCGGGGAGAGTAGTTTGTGGACGGCGTCGGCGCAAGTCTGTGCACCATGATCTCAGAGTTGAACGAAGAGTATGAGGGGGAAGAATGTATGTACCTCGAGAGTCGACGTCGCGTCCTCAGCCCCAACCCTCTGCAACAACACCGCAGACCCCAACGACAGCTCCGCCCCCTGCCTCTCCTCCCCCTCGCCCTTCGACGCCCTCAACACCCCCTCAGCCTTCTCGAGCGCAGCATTATCATCATCGTCAAACTCCACAACAGCCTTGACATGTTTTGTATCTTGAGCGAGCTGGTTGATAGAAGATACGACGCGCGAGACCCAGTACCGCCCGTCAGACGCGACGCCTGTGACTTTTGTCGTCTTGCCGTCGGAGGGTTTGATCGTCGTCTGGTGCAGCGTGAGGTCGGCGAGACAGGCGAGGAGACGGTCGCGGGATTGTTTGCGGAGGTCGTCTGTGAATGCTGGGGAGGGGACGTGGAGCTGTATGCAACACCGAATGAGCGCGAGTTGTATGGTACTGTATGGGGTGAGGACGTACGGGGATGGCGCCCTTCTCGGACTTCTTCTTTACGACGAAGATCCCGTGTACGACGAGCCAGTCCAGCACGAGCTGGACCCACGCGTCGTCCTTCGGTATAGACCCATTCTTGACGAGCGACGTGAACTGCTCGATGATCCACGACCGGCGGGAGTTCGTGACTTGCGCGTCCTCGCTATCAAGCTCTCAGTACCACCATTCAAACTCGCGCGTGAGGAAGAGGCGTACCCGTTGATAGCATCGACCTGCGAGAGCAAGTGCTTGATGTATCCCTGAATGCCCTCGACGTCCATAGTCGTCAAGATAGACTCGACAGTCTTCGTCTTAGTCAACTTGTCAAACTGTTGATCGCCGTGCACGCCCGTAAGCTGCAGAACGAACGCGAAGCCGATCTTTGGGTCTTTCTTCACGACCTCGTGTATGCTGGTAGACTACGAGGGCATGTGAGTTTGTGTGCATGAAGAGAGCGAGATGGGGACGTACAATCTGCTTCGCGAACTTGTGCAAGTAGCGATCGCTCTGCGTCAGATGGTTCATCCACGTCCGCATGAAGTTCTTGGTAAAGAGCATAGGCACGTCCGAGCCTTGAATACGGGGTAAAGCTTTCTGGAAGATCTCAAAGCCCCAGTATTTGCGCCCATTCGAAGAAGACGCGGCGAATAAGGACTCTATATGCGCATAGTGAGTAGAAGGGTTGCGCATAGGATGGAGAAGACGTACCGTCGACGACTATCCTGAAGAACTCCTGGAACGAGCCCTTCGGCGTCTTCCCACTCCCCTCAACCGGCAAAAGCTCATCCAACAACACATCCCACGCATAATGGACCTGCGGCTTCCACTGCCTTGCCCCTCCCTTCGCGTTCTCCTCCTCATCTTCATCGACCTCCTTCATCACCTTCGCAATAGTGGCCATATTCGCGCTATGCAACACGTCTCCGTGCTTGATCCCAGGCGCATACAGCTTCCTCCAGTCCAGCTTCGGCCAAAGAGCCTGCATCTTGACGCCGAGCGCGATCTTCTCCGGGCTCCACGCCTTGTCCTCCTCGAACACCTTCTCGACCGTGAACTTGACCGCATCGTCCTTCCAGTGTACGTCGCTCTTGTACAACGCCTCCACGGCCAGACCCAAGCTCCACCACGCGCTCTCCCTCAACCACGGCTTTTTCTCGCCCAGCTCCAACAGCTGCGACACGACGTCCTTGTAGCCCTGGAGAGAGCTCGCTTCCGGCGCGGAGCTGCCGGACGAGGGCAGAGGCTGCGTGCGCACGAGCAGGCCGGACCGGATGATGGCCGTGATGCCGAAGAGGCGGGCGAAGAGCATGTCGCGCTCTTCTTGGCCCGAGAGGGAAGAGCCGATCTGGGAGGCGTCGAGGACGAAGGCGAGGATCTGGCTGCATGTTACAGTGTTGATGCGCGCGAGAAGCTACAATCATATATCAGTACCCGATTGAAATGTGCAGAAGAATCGGTATGTTCACCTCTGTCAAAGCGACAGAAAACCCGAGCCGACTACTCTCCCTCGGACTCGCCAAACCCCTCACAAGCCGCCTAATCGAATACGACACATCCCCCGCATTCAACATATTCAACATCTCGCTCTCAGTCTTCAACATATTCAACATCTCGCTCTCAGCCTTCAACGCCTTCCCACCCTCTCCCTCCTCCTCCCCATCCATATCCTCCTCCCCATCCTCATCCTCCTCATCCTCCACACCAGACTCCTCCTCCGAAGCAGGACTCGAAGTCTTCGGCTCGTGCGCGGCCTGTAAGCGCTCGAGCGCGCCGATGAGCTTGACGGACGCGTCCAGGCGCGCTTTTTTGTCCCCTGAAGAGAGGTTCCAGAAGAGTGGGAGGGTCGTCGACATGGCTGGTGCGCCTTGACCCGGTCGGTGTGTGCGGAGGCAAGAAACAATGTCCGAAAAATCTTGACGCGCTCGGAACGCGGTCACGTGCGTTTGCCGCCACTTCCGTCCCGCGCGTATGTCTGGCTTGCGCCCATCGCTAGCAGCTTCAGAGGCCAGTTCGAGTTCACGCAGACGACTAAGCCCCTATTGCGTACGACAGAGACGTTTGGGGCACGAAAGTCATCGTGTTCGCTCCGGATGCAGTCATTTCACGCCGACAAAGGGAAGGTCTGCAGCGGACTGGTATAGATATTGATACAGAAAGCTAGCGCGAAGCCGTGCGGATTAACCAAGCGTATAGATAATATTGCTGTGCAAAGCAAATAAATGCCAGCCTGTCGACGAGCTCGAGGGGTATACTGCGCTCTGAGCGCGTTTTATACACAAGAGCCACGCTCTCGTCATCATCGTCTAGGTGGCGCTTGCCACCTCGGCGCCGGCACCCTCGTAATATACCTACTCAGCGCATCAGCATTCACCTTCCTTGGAGTAATTCAGAAGGTGCACGTACCCGACAGTCTCCCCGTGCCCCTTGACCTTCTCCACCCTCAGATCGAAGACCATATCGCCGTTCGTATGGTCCAAGAAGATCGCACACCAGTTCCTCCTCCCGATAATGTAGGGCGACTTCTGCTTCGAGCCGTCCGTATCGGTTGAGAAGATGGGGATCATGGTCTCGTCTGTGCCGACGCTATGCATCGTCGCGTGCGTCTTGGTCGATAGGTTGTTGACGAGTGAGAGGACTGCACCGGGCGGTCTGAAGCATACGTCAGTGAAACCATACACCTCAAGGGACTGAGAGAAATCAAAAGGACGTACGGTGTATTGACAATAGCGCTCGTAACGATATTGACCATGTACCGATGATCAATCGCAGGATTGATATCCGGCTGCTTCTTATTCTTCACCAACGTCTTGAACATCCCCACCGCGCCACAATGCACGTCTCCGGATACGAACGAGATGCGCACGCGCCGGTTCAGCGCGATAGTTTGCAGCTGCTCGATGAGCCAGTTGCGCTCGGCTTTGTGGTGTTTGGACGTCCAGTGGTCGTTCTGCGTGCGCACATGTCAGATGGTCGCGAGATGGGGAGTGGAGGACGTGGAGAGGCATACCAAGTCATCGAGCAGCTCAGCGTCCGCATTAAACTTATTAACCATACCCTTCAACATACTCCCGCTCCGTCCCAGACTAACAAGCGGATTAAACTTGTTGCTCAAGAAATTCTCCAAAAACACCATGCGCGGGTACGCGATCGGAATGCCCAGCTGAATAACCAGATGCTCCACGCCCATGTGCATCGCGTTGAGGCGCCCAAAGACCTTCTCGTACTCGTGCGAGGAGCAGACTTGGGTCAATTTGCGCTCGGCGCGGCAGTCGAGCATGAGGAGCTGGGTTGTTGGGCCGAGGTAGGAGAGGAAGGAGTGCGAGGGGTAGGGGATGTAGGCGCCCGGACCGCCGATTATTAGGGAGCGCATCCAGTGCGTTTGTGGGCCCGAGTCGTCGTAGCCGTCGATCTCCGCTGTAGATCATATGAGCTTCGTCTCGATGGTGGTGGACAGGGCACGTACGGCTGATGAAGCATTGGAATAGTAAGAAGTAGAAGTATCCTCTTGAGCCTATGCTATGAAGAGATGAGCGCGGTCCACGACGCTCTCTGGAGGGTCTAACGTACTGGCTAAACACAGGTGATCGCATGAGGTCGTCCGGATCTGAGGTGGATCAGTACGTGTGCGCGGATGCGTCAAGACGGGCGCTTAACGCACAGCTTCCAAAGCCATCGATCTGAGGAAGATTGAGTCAAAGGGAGGCGCCAGCGACGTGGATCAGCGGCGTACCAAGTCTGTTCATGCCAGAGTCCTACGTCAGTTATGTCTGCAGTTGAAGGGCAATGAAACGAGCGCACCATGGTCGTCTGCCATGTTCGCCATAGGTCTGCGTTGTAAGTCAGTAGGAGAGCGTGAGAAGATGGAGGATGACATACATTGAGCAGTTTGCTCTAGCAAAGGCGCCACTCCTGAACACATTGCAGTAATGGTTGAAGTAGAACCGATCTATGGCGATCCTCATATCCTCTGTCAACGGCATTCGTTTTTTCTCCTCCGTGTCCGGATGTGTAACCCAGTCTTGCATCTCAGGTTCTCGAGTCAAGCTATGAGACGCGTGTGAGAGAGATACAGAGCACCAGACGAGGATGAATGCACATACCCGTCGCAGTATAGTTGATCACCGCCACCCATGAGCAGATGAAAGGGCTTCTCCTCGTGCTTCATGAGTAGGTCGACCCATACTGGATCGTAACCGCTCGAGAAACCTGGTCCGCGGAAGTCGTCAGGGTTCACACCAGCGCTGAAGCCGTTGCACTGCATTTCACAATCAGACCAGTGCACAAGACCCTGACAGCAAGAAACGTACCGAGTATGCCGCTTGACGCATCGTGTCGAACCGTCCGGGAATATGGAACGTGATATCTTGCCCATTATTGACATTATAGCGTACTTGCACCTCGTTCTCAGACAACGGAATTTCAATGATGAACCTCCAGAATGTAGACGTTCTAACAGATCCATCAGTACCAAGTGGTTACACACTTCAAACGCCACACATACCCGCCATTCCCCTCGTACACCCAGATCTCCTGCCCGACAGCTTGTCGTGCCTGTGATCTCGGCCCATCCATACTCGTAGCCTCTGTCAAAGGCGGTGCATAAGACATAGCCGTTGGATCAGCGGGATGTGGTCCGAGGTCGAACGAGCGTCCGTGCCGGTGGCTGATGGATGTTGATCGCTGTGGCCTCGTCCGTCCTCGGCCCTCATCGGGATCCCAAGTATACGTGAGCGTAGGCGCTGGGTCGTATACCGAGCCAACATCCGCGGCTACAGCAAGTCAGAACAGACGTGCAATATTCAAAGTAAACACACGCACTAACGACGAGCGCCGCGCCACGCCATACGCCGTCCTCTGTCACGGTGTCATACCTCAACAACGGCCCACACATCATCTGCAAATGCGGCTGCATCCTCGCCATCCTCAGCTGATTGCTCCTCTCGACCGCACTCATATGCCGACTACTGTCCATCGTACTCCTCGACCCGTTCCTCGAATGATGGTCCATCGGCGCGCTCGGCATCCGCAGCTTCATGTCGCCGGGCATACCAGGCTGATGAGGAGGCGCGAATCCAGGCGTAGGCGGGTTGCTCGAGTTCATGTTGTGCGCGTATGGGTTGAATCCGCCAACAAAGCCGTCCTGCATCGGGAACACCTGTTCGACGGGCGTGAAGCGTCCATCTGGCCCTCGGAAGCGGTAACTGTCCTATAAACATTCTCAATGTCAAACAATGAACTCGGCTAACACCCGATCCCGAAACGCACCCTCTGTTCCTGCGCAGCGCGGCGCGAAGCGTGCCAGCCTGGGTTATCCATAGTCGCTACGAATGAGAGGCAGAGAAGTAGATGGCGGTAGGAGACAGAGAGACGTCTAACCGCCCGAGCTCTTGGCCGCCGCCGGCAGATTCGGTGACTGACGCCTCGGAGCGGGATGCACTTGGCGCGATCATTTCTTCGGCTCGGGCAAGATCCCAACTTGCCTCCGTACGCCGATCTACATCACCGGCACCCTCGAATATTTCCTTACGCTTTTTGCGCTCCATCCACACCGGCGGCCTGCTACCATCT